GATGTTACAGTCTACTTGTCGAGACGGCGGGAGTGTTTGAAATGGCAAGCGATCAGATCTAAAAGGCCAGCGATAAAGGTCTAACGCCGTAAAACTTTCTACTTATTGTTAGGCTCGTTCTGTTATTATCTTCTTTGGAATCCTCTGAAAAAGAATTATGTACCTTCTAGTCTCAGAATACCAAATTAACTACTCAGATCGAGTTTTTGGTTGCAAGAATTTTGAAATTTAATTGGTTAATTAATTTTGAACAGTTTTTGTTATTGTTCATCATATAATATTATTTTACTTATTTAGTAGGATCTATGTAGCGGACATTCTTTATTGGAAGTATAAAATTACTTGATGAAAAAATAGGTACATATTTTTAAAGTGCTAAAACCTGTCCTTTTTGTGGGTTCGCCTTCAATATCTTTTGGCGAGCAGTTCCTGAGCAACTCACGATCCGCTCGGTAGTGATTGATAAGAAATAGAAATTTGTAGAATAATGATCGAAAGAATCGCGAGAGAGTTTTCAAAAATATTGTATTAATGAAGTAGAAGTTAATTATGTTCACGATGGTTACATATACATTATTATACATACATTGTCTGTTAAATATATATTATTTAACAGATAATCACAAAGAAATAAAATTGATATACTTTGATATACTTTGAAGTAAATAATCAGCGTAACCGAGTGTATCTATTTACTACCAATACATGGTTATGTTAGGATTTTTTAATATCGCAGTATTTCAAATTATGCAGTGATTTCATATACAATGGAATTTCGTTTATCCGGATTCCATTAACTCTTTGCGGACGAACCCCAGGATATTCCTGGCATAACTGTTTTTCCGTTGCAACCTTTCTGACGGGATATTCCCGGAACGAGCATGCGACAGACATTTAGTCAGTGCAATATGACACTGTTTATCTTATTCTATATAATACCCAATTTTTTAGGTAAAAAATTAACCGAGTGCATGTTCAAAAAATAATTTTGACCAATATGACTACCATGCTTACAGAAAATACGACCGTAAAGAGTTAATATGTATTTTCATTGAAATTAAACTTGTACTGTATGCAAATACACTGTTTACAGTGTTAATAACTTTATACTGTTAATATCGTTGTATAAGAATGTAAAATCTGCAGTAAATATTAAATGTATTTGTGTTATTTATACCCTTCGCGAACGGGATTCCATTGGATCAGAAGAACTTATCATGTAGATTTGATAAAATATGTAGGAAAGGTTGATATTTCGTAGAATAATTGATGTTTTAACCTCCTTGTATCTCTCAAATCACGACGGAATTTAGTACTTTCAATGTATCACTATAAGAATTCATTTTTATGTTAGGTGAACGATTTGTGTAACCAAAATATGCGACTAATGCGATTGTCATTGTG